AAATAAGCTTACCTCTCTGCCGTATCTAATATCAGTTATGTCTCATAACTATCAAACACTAATACATTTTATATTCTTACATTTTCATATAAACTTACCTCTCCGTTAGATATAATATCAGTTATGTCCCATAACTATCAAACACTAATACATTTTATATTCTTACATATACAAGTATTTTTCAAAATTAAGAAGAGAGAGTACTCATATGCATAGTTAGTAAATACTCCGTTTAATACACGTATATGTACCCATACGTATTTTATCCATTTAAAACTTCTGTATTCGTATTATTGTCAAGCCGTGTCATTTATCCCCATTCATTTGATGACTCCCGTACTAAACACGTATAAAACCTGTATATCATGGTTAATATCCGTATTTAATGAATTAAATTGTTAACTTTACTTTAATTTATATATGAATTTATTTTTAAAATAATTAAATTTATGTATTTACGATTATTAACGTACTATTAAACGTAACATTAGCTCAGAGACAGAGTAAAATACCCGTACGTATTTTATACGTAACTTTCCCGTACCCTTTTTTACTAACTATGCTCATAGTCACTAAATGAAATCTATAATTCATAAAAGGAACGCCTAAATGAAATCTATGATTCATAAAAAAAAATGAGGGACTAAATAATATGTAGACGGTTAATATTAAAAATTGGGAGACCAAAGGCTAAGGTGCTAAGCCGTGTAAGCACTCACCAACCGTGATGATTTAGGTGGAGAAAAGGTAAAATAAGATTAAAATTAACAAAGTAGGGATCGAACCAGGGACCTTTCACTCACATCTTTTAATGTTAACTAAGCCTTAATACCACTACACCACAACACATACTATGTCTTACCTATTGGAGATTTTAACTATTTCTCAAACTTAGGGGAGCCATGGCCCCCACTAAGTACAAGCTGGCTCCGTCCCTGCTGCTGGCTTATTGCTCCCCAACCCTGCTCACGATTGAAAAGAGAAGGGTTTCTGGAGGTGAAGGACGAAGAACGAAAGTTTGGAGCCTGAGATAGTTTGGATTTGTTAGGTAGGAGCCGGAAATATGGGTGGTGGGTGGAGGTTCGGCGAGCTTGGAGCTGGAGATGGAGAGCTTGGAGGCTGGAGGATGGAAAACTTGGAGGTTTGGCGAGCTCAGCGTGCAATTCGCAGCGCCTCTACTACTGCTGGGTGGAGGAAGAACGAAATTGTAAATGGGAAATGTTGGTATCAACAATTAGAGTTTTGTGTTTTGATGTTAGGACAGATTATTAACAATGATATAATTAAACATGTATTTATTATAAATGAAAAACTCCTAGTCGGGATGGTAAGATTTCTCATTGTTAACCACTGGAGGATTGGTTCAATCCTTGCTTTCCATTACATATACTGGATTTTTTCTGCCCAAAAGCCAAGGGGGATGCACCCCTCTCAATTGTGCACAGCTCATGCCAATTGCTAGATTTTGAGTAATGTGAGAGTTGGGGTCAATTCCCACGTTTTTAGCTCGGCCCGTTGGCCGATTAACATTATGCATGTTCATATTTGATAGTTTATATTCATTAGAAACACAGTACATTAATGAAACAAATCATAGAATCCAACACTGGACCATAAGTGCATTCGATCTAGTGGGATCCGATGAAGTTCGTTCGAAATGTCCCCTCAGAACATTTTTCTTTTGAACTTGTATGATTGGTAGGATGAAGGTCCATGACATATTAGATTCAATTCGATATGGTCTTGGTCAAAGCTGTGTTGCGTCCAGTGTGGTTTGGGGTTGACCATCAAAACTTGAGAGCAAATGACAAAATTAGAGTTATATCCAATATACTAATAGACTCGATCAAAGTAATGAGACAAAAAATTAGACACTCCTTATCTACAGGTTACAGTAGTTTGAATAGTGAATCGACCTTAACTTTAGTAAATCAATCAATGATTCCTCGTTTTAACTTAAATATAGGTTGTGGTAGTTGCAACAACCATAACACCTAAAGATCCAATACTTTCCACTCTCTGTTGTACAACCAAATTTTATCCCTCCAACTTCAATCTCTCGATGTATATGTTTTAAACCAAAATTCAATTTCTAATTATCCTTCTGCAACTCCGTTTATGCTACTTTGATGGACCTTCTCTCCATGAACCTGAATTTCTCTATCAATTGAGTTTCTTGTCAGCTTGATCTCCAACTCCTCAATCCCTTTTCTTGTATTTGGCCAACTCATCTTCCTCGGGGCAGTTTTAATAAGCTCGTAAAACCAACACTCATCTTCAATTCCATCAATATGCTCTTCTCCTCCTTCTCTGCCTTCATCTGATCCAGTTCACTTCCATGCACTTCAATACCCTCTCCATTTTCATTAATATCCTGATCATCTACCACTTCTCTCTCTTCAACTACTCCGATTTTGCTTCTATGTCTTTCAATACCCTCCTTGGTTCAATCACTACCCTGACCAATTGCCTCTTCACTGCCTTCACTTGCTGCAAACTACTTCCATGACTTTTTATACACCTTCCTCAAAATCACAATCAACTAACCAATATCAACCCATGGCCTTGGATCAGTTTTAAACTCTCGATGAACATCTCAATACCACAAAGTCTAAATCTAAATATTCTTTCAGTTAATCATGAACTTGAGTTTATCAAAATCTAATCCACTCCTTCTAAGTTGGAATTCACATCCCCAAGCTCATTTTTTGTTCATTTGATCCCTCATAACCATTATATTATACCTCCAACTAAAATAAATCAAAGCATTTTACGAAAAGAAACCGAACCATGAACTTTACCTGCTACCAAATCCAAACACAATTTCTTCCTCTCACCACTTTCCTTCTCAAACCCAATATCAACTTTTACTCCAAGTTCACACCCCCAACTCCCAGTGTTTTGCGTGAGAGCTTAATTTTAGCAATCATTATGCTTGCAATTAGATTAATGAACACCAGCAAGCGCCAAAATTCCACCAGACGATGAGTTGTCTTCACTTTGAGTTTTGTCATAAAACTGCTGGCCCAATATGTTTATCAGTTTGGAGGCCATATGATGAGCTATACCAAATCAGTTACAACGAAGTTACCGGTCACAGTAATGACAATGTGAAACATGTGTTAACAAACGCGAATATGGGTTACTTTTATGAATTGACATTAGAATGATGGGATTGGACAATGAGATCATCCTTAGTTAAGCGACATGTAAATTGGTTCATTTGGTATGGAGGACACAAACCGTTAAAATTCTAAATTATTTGGGTGAGTTTGTATTTAGTGTTTTCAAAATCGTGGTATATGAGTTAGGTGATTAAAATGTTCAGAGATTCAGTCCCCTATAGTTTGCACAAAGATATGATTGCTTCACTATAGTTCTGAAAATTAATGGTAATTTAAGAATTCTATATCGCTTCTACATATTCAATACTATAATTCGATATGAAATATTCGAACCAACAATATTTTGGTTGCAAATTTATGGTTATCGTCTATTTTTTTTTGGTAAAAGGTTATCGTCTATTTATAAGATAGATAAAATTTTAAATTAAGTATTATACTAAAATTAAAATATCAAAATCGAAGTATCAAAACACCAAATAAACACTTAAGAAATATTTATTGGGCTAGCTAACTGTTGAAAAGTTCAGTGATTTCATATTTTAGCTTCATATATATTTTTAATTTTAAAAAATACAACAAATCTACATAGTCTGATTGATTTTAAACCTTCACTTTGTCTGAACTCTGAAGTGACCATGATTCAAATCTCAATTTGTCTATCTATTTCTGTAAATAAATAAAAAAATATACATAATTATGAAGACAAATATGTCCTTCCTAATTTCCCTCTCATTGCAAGAAATTTGAAAAGGGAGATTAAGTTTCAAATAATTAAATCATATACCCTAAATCTATAGAACTTAACCATAATATCACATATACTAAGAACATAATCAATAATCCTGATTCGCCAAGATGTATACAACATGCCATATGCACTATATTAGAATTTAGAGAATTATGATATAGGGTTTAGTTACATGATTAATCTATGGTCTAGATAATGTTATTTAACTAAGGAGACGCAATAACCCTCAATCCATCGAGCGTACCATAGAATTTCCAATGTATATACTAATATACACATACCATTGTTTGTTAAATTTAGCCAATGATAATTGTCTCATTTGTCATTGGTATTTAGTCTTTCAATTCTATACTTATAATTGTCAACCATTAGGGAAATTGTTAGCCAATGATTTTTGGTCATTCACTTATAGCATGGAAAATATCTCATTACAAAACCACAGATCACAAATGTCAAATTTTATGTTTTGAAATAAAATTTTGTATAGCACTTTTGTAAACAATCCTTGTATTCCTACAAACTACAAAGTCATGTAACCTAATAAATGTAAAAGTTGTAAGACATACATAAACTCAAAATGTACTATTTGATTCTTGGTGACGAATTGTGTGATTAGAGGACCTCACTTAGTTGATTCATAAAGCTAGGTATATCATGATGATTCACTTTGTAAATAATTACAATTATTAATTAATTAGATGATTGATTGTTGCGGTGGATAGTCTTATGATTTTGAGATATTTCAGTATTTTCTCTTTTTAATTCAAAAACACATAAATATTCGTGTAGTGCAGTTGGTTAGGGATATTGACTATCAATTTGAAAAACTCGAGTTCAAATCTTTGTAATAACTTTTTTTTTCTTCTTATAAGAAGATATTTAAGTTCTAAATTGAACTTACAAATTTATCCCTAATTATAATTAAAAAGAGTACAAGAATTTGAAATGCCCATACTCCACATCCAAACAACCTCATACTCCATAGTGATAAGTTATCCTCATTGTAAGCTCCAAAATAATAGAAAAACAAAAACAAACTGGTTGGACGAAAGAGTATGGAAATCCGGCAGTTTGAATTCTGATGAACTTGAATGTCACCTGCCCAGTTTTGGCATTATTGAGGAGGAGGCAGACTAAGCTGCTTGCAGTTGCATTACTGCCGTTGCGGCCATCACCACCACCACCATTCCACCATCCACTGCCTACCAGTTTGCAAAATTTGTTATATATCTTTCCCCCCTCTCTCTTCCTATTCCCATTCCCCAGAAGAACCCTTCCCCTGTTTCCCCTTTCTTACCACTCTCATCTTCATTTCTCCAAAATCATCGTCGTCTCCCTCTGGTTTCCTCTCTCTTTCCCAATCCACACGCAAATGCATTCCGCAAAGCGCAGCCACAGGTTCTTCAAGTTCAGAATACCTTCTCCAGCTTCCTCTCTTTCTCTCTCCATCTAAAACAGAGCCGGATTATTACTGTCTCTCTTTCATCTTCATCTTCCTTTCAATTCAAAGCTCAAACCCCACCACCGAAAAAGACAGTGCCCAGATAACATCTACCCACAAAAATTCCCTTCCTTTCTTTCACTTCCGTGTTGGAATTTTTGTCACTTCCCTCCCCGCTTACCCCACTCAAAGGGATATCTGTCTATTCTCTCTGGTACAAATCAAATGGTTGCCAAAACGGAGTACACCCACTTCTCACGTACGGCGGAGTTGGTGGCCGGATCGGGTTGGATTCTGCTCCGGATTGATTACTCCCGCCTCTTCTGGCTCCTCTTTCGCCACTTCTCCTACGAAAACCACGAGGGGAAGCCGAGGATCATTTGATTTTCAACCCCTCCTTTCCCTTTGGCTCTCTGTTTACTTTCTTCCCTCTGTTTCCTTCCTCGATTGTATAATTACTGCTTTAGTTTCAAAGTTTGAGTCAGCCTTTTCGAGTGCACTGAAATTAAAATTTGATGTTTCTGGGCGCGGGCATAAAAACCATGAACGGAAAGACAGCAGTGAAGCTCGCCAACGACGGCTCTGCCGCCGATCATAGCTACGTGGAGACTGATCCCACCGGCCGTTATGGACGAGTGAGTATTGTTTCATCATCTTCAGGGCCGATAGGGATATGAACTAATTACATATTATCCGTTTGCATGCATCTTTGTGCTCATCTCCAGCCAAGAACGTCAATTGTTTAATTATTTGAGAATAAATGGTTTTGCTCTAGCTATGTTTTTGTCATGTTTCTCGAGCTCCTATCTAAAGAATATTTGTTCAATGGCGGCCTGTACTTAGTTGCCCTCATGACAATGTTGTAGATAGAGCTAGTTTTTCTTTTCCTTGGGTCTTCCAACTTCTGATGACGCTGTTTTCCCCCATTAAACTAGAGATGGTCAACTCTTTACTGGGTTCTTAAGTATTGATGGACCCAAGTTGGATTACATCACGGCATCTTTGTACATAAAATAATATATCCTAAAATATTATTATGTGTATGCTTTTGCTTAGGTTTTTATTTTGACCTTTCCTTTCTCCTATGAATGAATAATTATGCTTTTGTTACTGTAAGAGATGGCTTTGATCACTTCGATTAACCAGGCTGACAATTGTTGAAGAGTTGAATCTGATAAAGGTTATTGATTGTATATTTTGGAGGACAGTTCAATGAAGTACTTGGTAAAGGAGCAATGAAAAAGGTATACAAGGCAATTGATGAATTCCTTGGATTGGAAGTAGCATGGAACCAGGTCAAACTCAATGACGTGCTTCGCAGGCCAGACGATTTGCAGAGGCTCTACTCGGAAGTTCATCTTCTCAGTACCCTAAACCATCCTTCCATTATTCGCTTCTATACCTCATGGATCGATACTCGTCATCGGACTTTCAACTTCATCACTGAGATGTTTACCTCTGGGACTCTGAGAGAGTAATGATCTTATAAGTCCATTTCTTTAAGGATCACCTTCTTCCAGAAGTTGTTGTAATAGAACTGTCTGTTCAACCTGACTTGCAGGTACAGGAGGAAATACCGGCAAGTGAGCATGCGAGCTATAAAGAGATGGGCTCGGCAAATCTTACAAGGCCTAGTGTACCTACATGGCCATGATCCTCCAGTAATTCATAGAGACCTGAAATGTGACAACATTTTTGTAAATGGTCATCTTGGACAAGTCAAGATTGGTGATTTGGGCCTTGCAGCTGTTCTTCGGGACAGCCAATCAGCTCACAGTGTAATAGGTACTTGCTTCTCTCCCTTATGGAAAGAAGGGGATGATAGTGAAACTTTGAAAAGTAGCCTCCTTTTCCTGCTTGTTATAAAAAAAGTTCTAAACTTTCAAACAACTACTAGGCACACCGGAGTTCATGGCTCCGGAATTATATGAAGAAGATTACAACGAGCTAGTTGATGTCTACTCATTTGGGATGTGTGTTTTGGAGATGATGACAGCTGAATACCCTTATAGTGAATGTGTTAATCCAGCACAGATATACAAGAAAGTGACCTCAGTATGTCTCCTTTTTTGTCACTTTATTCGGTTTTTTTAGTGTTTGGTAGCTAGGCTTACCATGTATGGCACCTTCTTGATGCAGGGAAAACTACCAGCATCATACTATAGGCTCGACGACTTTGAAGCACAGAGATTCATTGGGAAATGCTTAGTTGCTGCTTCAAATAGAGTATCAGCAAAAGATCTATTGTTAGATCCTTTTCTGGCACCAGAGCCTGTTATTAAAGGAATTGAAAGTCCGAAACCTTTCTTGAACACTGGAGAAATGGATAAGTTGCAGTTGGATGATGATGACCCACCTAGGACAGATATGAAAATCACAGGGAAACTGAATCCTGAAGATGATACCATCTTTCTTAAAGTGCAGATTGTCAACATAGATGGTATGTTTCTAATGCTAGCTTTTGTTCTTCGCTTTCTTGCACACTCGAGCTAATTAACTTGGGGTTGACAGAAAAAAAAACTCATGTTGGTTATCCGACCCAATCCAACTGACACGGGTTGAATTGATATCGGTGTGAGTCTGATCCAAATTCAATGGATGGCTTTGTGTCATATGGATACCCGTTTCATCGTTCCTTGTGGGTTTGATCTTATTACAACGCTGTACTTGATTTGCATTCGTGAAGATTACCGATAAAAAATGGTGATGTGGTTTTAATTATAGCCGTACAAGTGCGGATCCAAATGTGTTTGACCGAAATTAGATCGAACCTCATCCACATATAAATGAAAGAGCAGTTGGGCAAAACCCTTACTCAAATGGATTGGTATGATGGGGTCAACATATCCAACAGCTTGACCCATTGCCATCCATCTACTCAAGTCTGCTTTGCAGGTTGTGCTCATTTGATGATGACTTCATGTTTCGTTTCGCTTGCAGGTTCTGCTCGGAATGTGTTCTTTCCGTTTGATATACAACATGATACTCCGATGGATGTTGCAACGGAGATGGTCAAAGAGCTTGACATTGTTGATTGGGAACCATCTGAAATTGCTGGAATGATTGATCAAGAGATTTCAGCTATGGTGCCAGACTGGGAACTCGCTGATTATGAAGGCAATCATACACTGGAGCACTGTGACTATGATGATCATAGTCATGCTTATAAATCTTCCTCTTCATTTTCATCTTCCCAGGCATCATCATTCATGGGCATAACTCTTGGGCCACAAGGTATATTTCTGAACACTGTACTTCTTTGATGTTGCATTTAGTATTACGTTTACTGGGATAGGAAGACAAATATAAATGACTAATTTAGACCATAATGCATAGCTTCATGATAGCTTGAACTTGTTAATCCCCTATATATGTAACCAGATTTATAGTTTACTGACTAAATTTGCAACTAAAAGTAAATTTACAATAACCATGGCTTGCAGTAAGCCAAAAATATTCTATGCATCCTTATAGATAGATAAACAAAAGGAATCTTGTATGAATTATGCTTGAGTTGGGGGAGAGTAAGATTGATGGAGGAGTTTGTGGGAAATCTGCATTCAAATAGTACTTTTAGACTACAACGTAAGTCATATGGTAACATTTTCAAAGCCTGCAATATCAATTGGAAACAATTGCTGTTGCAGATAACTTGTACTATGATGATGCCAGCTCGCAAAGCTCTTCACAGTCAGGATCATCACATTCCATCTTAAATTACACTTGTGTTGATGATGATCACACGAGCACAAGGAGAGATAAACATCACATCATGTCAAGAACTCACAACTCAACAAGACTTTTTCCAACAGGAAACTCGAAATCTGAGGGGCAAGCACTCGTTAGAACTGCATACAGAAATTGCATGGCATTGCTCAATTCGCAACACCAACACCAACGAGGTCATAGCTCTGGAGACAGAAAGACCCGCTTGATGAGGAACCAGTCGCTAGTCGATGTTCACAGCCAATTGCTGCACCAGTCATTAGTGGAAGAGGTTAACAAGAGGCGACTGTTCAATACAGTTGGAGCAGTTGAAAATATCGGTTTCCAGGCACCTCCTCCTGATGTTTCCGAAAAGCAGTCGAGGAGAAGAAACTGATCATTCACAAGGATGTTGTAATGAAACAGAAACAGACAAGCACTATTTGGAGTTCAGTCCTACATTCAATTCTCAAATCTTCTCAAGATCATGAACCTGTCATCACATTTATTTAGCATATCTTTGCAAATCCTTTCTCATATCTGTATAGCTCCTTTCAGCCATCTATAAATGGCAGAGCCTTGTAATGATATTAAACAAGAGAAGAAATACACTTTCATTGCATCTTCATGGTATCAGAGCATAGTATACTCTAAAGAGTTTTTTTCTTCCCTCCCCAATTCTTCTGCTTATCCTTCCACTCTTCTGCTTCTCCTATAATGTCAACTTCTTCCTCCACAACCTCCTCTCCTTCGGCATCTATTCAGCCCATCACACCTCCTCGTCTATCTCTCCCCTCCAACCCTCAACTCACAGTGAAACTCACTCCAAACAATTATTTGCTTTGGAAGGCCCAATTACAGCCTCTACTACGTTGCCATCGCTTAATCGGCCACATTGACGGCACCTCTCCGGCTCCTCCGCTCACCATTGATGCTCAGTCAAATCCAGACTATACTGAATGGTATGAAAGAGATCAATTGGTTCTTACCTGGATTACCCTTTCTCTGTCTGAAGCAGTCATGCCCACCATCATCAATAAGTTGACTGCTCGTGCTGCCTGGGATTCTTTGGCTCGGGTTTATGCTTCCGGGTCGCCTGTCGTCGTTGGGAAGCTCCGGCGAACTCTGAATCACATCTCTCGTGGCGAGGATTCAGCCCATGACTACCTCCAACGCGCCAAAGCCATCTTCGACCAACTTGCCGCGCTCGGAGCCCCGATTACAGAAGCGGAACTTGTCACTGCGATTCTCGACGGTCTCGATGAGGATTTTCGGCCATTTACCCGCAATTTGGAGGCGAAGTTGGAACCAATTTCGTTTGAAGATCTCAGCAGCCTCCTCATCAGTGAAGAACTTCAGCTGCGCCGTTTTCGGTCACTCTCCTCTGCTGGTGGTGCTGCCCCTCCGTCGGCCTTCTTCTCTGGCCACTCTCGTGGTCGCGGCAGCCGCTTTACAAGAGGCAGAGGCGGTGGACGTTCAACCCGTCAGTCTGCCCGCGTCAACACTCCACGGGCTCACCATCAACTATCGGCCCAACCTCATCTAGCAGCCCAGCCGTTGGCCCATGTTTATTCTGCCCCATTTAATAAATCTATGTCTGCAGGAGTTCTTGGTTCTGGGCCCTCCGGCCCATCTGCAGTGGTCTGCCATAATTGTGGAGGAAGGGGTCACATTAGGCCCAATTGTCCAAGCCCAAAATATCATATTCCCGCCAATTCTTCTAGCCCATCTTCGTACCTAGCCCAATCGCCTCAGCCTTTTCACTCCTCTGAAAATTGGCTTCTCGACTCTGGAGCCAATCATCATCTCACCTCCGACCTCGATAATCTGGCTCATCATTCTGAGTATAATGGAACCGATCAAGTCACATTTGGTAATGGTAACTCTCTTCCCATCTCTCATTCAGGATCTTCTACCGGTCATCTGTCTAATTATTCTGTGTCTCTTGATAATATACTTCGAGTAAAAAATGCCCCTCATAATCTTCTTTCCATTAGTTCTCTTACCCGTTCTAACCCCATCTCCATTGAATTCTTTGACTCTTATTTTGTTATTAAGGACCGTCACACGAAGCATGAACTTTATCGAGGCTCTACGGTTGATGGCCTTTATTCTCTTCCGCTTCACATCAACCGGCATACTCCTCCTCGTGCTTTTGTTGCTTCACTCAATCTCTGGCATCAGCGTCTCGGTCATGCCAATTTGCGTGCTGTTCGCCAGCTTTTGTCGTCTCATCATATAAAATACTCCTCCGACTCTTCTTCTTTATGTCATGGTTGTTCCCTTAGTAAGATTCATAAACTTCCATTTCCAACTTCCTCTTATTGTGCATCTGCTCCTTTAGAACTTATATGTAGTGATCTTTGGGGACCCGCTCCTCTCCTATCTTATGATCATCAATCTTACTATGTTTTGTTTTATGATCACTACAGTAAGTTCACCTGGATTTATTTTCTTCACTCTAAGTCTCAGGTTCTCAGTGTGTTCACTCAATTTCGTCAGCTTGTTGAAAAATATTTTGGCCTTCCCATTAAAATTTTTCAATCTGACTGGGGTGGAGAATATCAAGCCCTCACTTCTTATCTTGCGACTCATGGTATTACTCATAGATCCTCATGCCCCCATACCCCTGAGCAGAATGGGTGTGCTGAACGCAAACATCGTCACATAGTTAACAACGGTCTTGCCATGTTGCATCATGCGCAAGTTCCCCTCAAATACTGGCCTCTTGCATTTGACACAGCCTGTTATCTTATTAATCGCACTCCCACACCTCTTCTAAACAATCTCTCTCCTTTCACTGTCTTGTTTAAACAAACACCTGATATTCTTAATCTTCGTGCTTTTGGTTGTCTTTGCTATCCATGGCTTCGTCCGTATACATCTAATAAACTTCAACCCCGTTCTATTCCCTGTGTTTTCTTGGGTTATAGTAAGTTACACAAAGGTTATCGATGTCTTGATCGGGCTACAGGTCGTATTTATATCAGTCGACATGTCCTCTTTGATGAGTCCATTTTTCCTTTTACAACCACTCCTCCCTCTTCTTCTCCTACTCCTTCCCTCCAACAATTTTTAGACACATCCCCAATTAATTTACCCAGCCCACCTCTTTCCCATCCTTCACAGACCAAGCAATTAATTCTACATCACCTTACACCACCATTACTTGGCCCAACTCCCACCATTATCTCGTCTCCCACCTCTTCCTCACTAGAATCCACCCCTCCAACCCAATCTGGCCCACCTCCCACTTCCCACCCCAACCCACTGTCCCCTACTCACAAAATAACAACTCCATCACCATCATCAAAGCCATCAGCTCCCATCTCTGCCGCTCCTCCTCTGCTAAAAACTTACTTCCGTCGTCCTACTATTCCGTCCCGACCTCCATTTAACACATCACCCCGGATCCTCCCTAATCCTTCCCCACTTCCTCCTCCACAACGCATGACTACTCGCTCACAGACCGGCAACTTAAAGCCACGACAATTCATCGCATCTCTTACCCCAGCTCTTCCAACCACGGCTGCACAGGCAATGAAAATTGCGCACTGGAGAGCTGCCATGACCTCCGAGTTTGATGCATTAATTCGCAATCACACTTGGGATCTCGTTCCTCCACCACAGAATTGCAATTTGATATCTAAAAAATGGGTGTTTGCTATCAAGACTAATCCAGATGGCACAATCGAACGACACAAGGCCCGCCTTGTCGCCCGTGGATTTGAGCAGATTCCGGGACGGGATTTTAACCAAACCTTCAGTCCGGTCCTCAAGCCGGCAACTTTAAGGCTTATTCTGGGCATTGCTGTATCGCACTCTTGGCCGCTGCACCAGATAGATATCTCCAACGCCTTCCTTAACGGCACATTACATGAAGAGGTATATATGCGTCAACCACAGGGATTCATCGATCCAGACCGTCCCGACCATGTCTGCCGCCTGAACAAGTCTCTATATGGTCTTCGACAGGCACCTAGAGCGTGGTTTCATTGTTTGTCACAAGCTCTTAGGGAATTTGGATTCATTGCGTCGAAGACAGACCCATCTCTCTTCATTTACAAGGCTGGCCAAGTTACTTTGTATATGTTGGTCTACGTCGACGATATAGTGATCACCGGCACTCATTCCTCATCAATTCAGCAACTCATGACTTTCCTCCGATCCCGGTTTGCTCTCAGAGATCTTGGGCAACTTTCATATTTTCTGGGGCTAGAGGTGCATCAGTCTAGCACTGGTTTAATTCTACATCAAAGAAAATACATTCTTGAATTATTGCAACGGTCAGGAATGTCTGAAGCAAAGGCGATTTCTACTCCATGTACTATAGATCAGCTTATTCAAAGTGCCTCTGATACTTCTTCAGCATTCCATGATCCTGGCTTATACCGCAGCATTGTTGGTGGTCTGCAGTACTTGAGTTTCACAAGGCCGGATATTTCATTTGCAGTCAATCATGTTTCCCAGTTTCAACATTCTCCAACTGATGCACACTGGTCTGCAGTAAAACGCATTATGCGTTACCTTCGGGGTACACTAGCCACCGGACTCATTTTCCAGCGTTCATCTAAACCACAACTCCATGGCTATTCAGATGCCTCATTTGCTTCGTGTCCCAAAGATCGAAAATCTATTACAGGCTATGCTGTGTTCTATGGACAGAATCTGGTTTCCTGGTCTACTCGAAAGCAGAAGTCGGTGGCGCGATCTTCGACTGAATGTGAGTATCGCGCTTTAGCTACCTTGGCATCAGAAGTTATCTGGCTTCAAGCACTTCTTTCCGAACTTGGTCAGCCGCTTACTTCATCCCCAGTGCTTTGGTGTGATAACTTAGGGGCAACCTACCTGGCGCACAACCCTGTTTTTCATAGTCGGTCCAAACACCTGGAAATTGAATTTCATTTTGTACGCGATCGGGTCAACAAGAATCAACTACATGTTCGTTACCTACCAGCTACAGATCAGCTGGCGGATGTGCTCACAAAGCCTCTCACTCGACTACCATTTCGACGATTTTGTTCCAAGTTTCACCTCACTGAGGTTTCACTTGCGGGGGCGTAATGAAACAGAAACAGACAAGCACTATTTGGAGTTCAGTCCTACATTCAATTCTCAAATCTTCTCAAGATCATGAACCTGTCATCACATTTATTTAGCATATCTTTGCAAATCCTTTCTCATATCTGTATAGCTCCTTTCAGCCATCTATAAATGGCAGAGCCTTGTAATGATATTAAACAAGAGAAGAAATACACTTTCATTGCATCTTCATGTTGATCATAAAGTTTCTTCTAGCAAGTAGGGGAACGAAACAATCACCTGGCTTTCTGGCAGAGCATCTATCAGGTGATGTGTAGATATTAAAATCAGGGGTGTGAATATGTATATGTAGTGTGTTTGTGAAGCGATGATAGTTTGCAATAAAGTTTTCACCTTTCATATTCCCTAATGAATAAGCATGGAGTATCATGAAGTTTACCATATGATCCCAGCTTCTGAAACAAGGAAGAATCTTTACCATCCAGTTGGGTATTCTAATTTGAACTCCTGGTTGTTAATTTCATGAATGTACTTCTGCTCACCGTTTTCCAAATTGCCGGAAGCAACTTTATGATCAAAATGTTTTTTTCCCCTACTTGCCAAAAAGCCAGGTGATTGTTTTGTACTTCTGTTCACCGTTTACCATGCAAGTTTAAGCTATAACTGTTGGGATATGCCTTGTTTCCATTCTTGTGTTTGTCTTTCGCTGGGCATTTTACCTTCCTTTCTCTGCCAACATTTCGTTCCTTTCTCAAAATTAGCCTCTTAACTAGCTTTATTCAACTTCTTTAATATAACGCCAGACAAAAAGTAAAGGTCAAAGCAGGATCTGCTTCCCTTTTTTGTGTTCAAACTAGCTCATTATTCTGAGAAGGCAAGAAGAAGATCCCAAAAACTTCTGCAAGTCTGTCTGACCAGGTTTTCGCTTGGTATGCAGCGAAATTTAACCTTCATTTGTGTAGCTTGAGATGGAAACAAAGCTCACAGGAACCAGACTGAAACACAGCCAACAGTTTCGTGGTCTGCCTTCAATGAACAGAAATACAGAATTGCAAAAAGAAACCAAGTCCTCACTGTAGAGCTCTTTGTACCATTTTGCAGCGACCATAAGTTGTTTTGAGTTATGAATGTTGAGACTCTTTCGCTCTCTCCCCAGGTGCAGGTGGCTTGCTTTTCTACTTGTCTAGAATGTGAAAAATCAAGTCCAGTAAAATGGGTAAAATAATTTAACTTGCTGAAAGCTCAGGCATCAAAGTTACTGTTTGAGCAGCATAACAGATTTTCTTTTTCCTTTTTTGTTGATAGAGCAGCATAACAGCTATCATGTTCAAAAGAAAAATAAAACAAGATCGGCTGACAGCTAGGCAGAAGGTTAGTTCAAATTTAAGGAATTCTGTATCGTCTAATCCAAGCAGTTGATTATATTTAAGACCTAGGATGCACGACAATTGAGTAGGGCTGATTGGTGAAGTGGAAATTACAAAAAACATGCAACCTAATGGGAAGAATTGAGCCAGCTAAACCTAGCTTTAGCTTGTGGTCCTTTAGATTATTATAGCCCTGGTAGTCTGTGTCACATATCAAGTCTCTTGGTATGGACATGACATCTGATCCTTATCTTATGAGAAGAAGAGGAGTCACTTTCCACATAATTCAACTATTATAGGTTATTTTGTGGATAGATCCCAAATTCTTATGTTATAATTGACTAAAACCTCCACCCCATGAACCACAAAATCAATAATGTTTCACTTTCATATCAAAACATATGGAGTCAGCTGCCCTAGCTCTGAAATTCTCTGTTCTCGTGAGCCAATCTACCATCAGTCAATGACATACCCAGATTTGGAGGTTCCCCAGTTCTTGTTAAGATTAACCTAAAACAACCCTCAGATCAGATGCAAACCAATCAAAGAAATTGGCAGTTTACTAGATTTATACATACATCTAAGGATCTACCCCTAGCCTAGCTTCATACACGAATACTGTTGAAATTAAATAAAGTTTAATTAATAAAAGTATCTAGCAAAAGAAATCAGAAAGGCCTAGAAGTGATCTACGTGGGGAGATTGAGAAGTGTCCAGAAATTGATAGGTAAGAATTTAATTATGTTTGTTGGCAGTTGTCATTAAATAAAATGTAAAAAAATGAAGGCCACAATTTGTATGGCGGTGGCTTGGAGTGAAATGCCTATTAATAGGCTTGGTTATGTACGAATGGAGTGCAGAGCAAAAAAGAAAGGAAGTAGCTAATAAAAGCCTCTTCTCCCATTCCTCTCTGTCAACTTGCTCCAATCAAATATCCATATCAAAACTAAAAGATCCAAATTCCCATTTCCCCAAACGTGCCCACCAAAGCCAAAATATATAAGGAAATAATTATTTTATTTCCAACAAAGTGGTATCAGAGCCCGAGTTATTTCCGAGTATGCTCTGTGGTTGCGGCGTAGTCTGAACTTCCACATCAGAAAAGAATTTCTCGTGCTATTGTTATCACGATTGTCCCATGGCCGAAAAATCTACTTTCCCCATTCAATCCCCCCACCTTACCAAAACCAATTACAAAAATTGGTGCATTCGTATGAAAGCCTTGCTGGGATCCCAAGATGCTTGGGATATTGTTGAGAAAGGTTACGAGATTCCCGTGGAGGATTCTCGATTATCTCCGGCTGAAAAGGAGGTATTGAGAAAAAATAGAAAGAGTGATCAAAAGGCACTCACTTTAATTCATCAATGTCTTGATGAATTGATGTTCGATCAAATAGCAGATGCTACCACAGCAAAGGAAGCATGGGAGATTCTGCAAAAGGAAATGCAAGGCGTGGAACCAGTGAAGAAGGTTCGACTTCAGACACTCAGGGGAGATTTTGAAGCCATTAAAATGAAGGAAGGTGAATCTGTTTCAGATTACACCGCCCGTGTGAAGTCAGTCGTCAGCAAACTGAAGCAGTATGGGGAGAAAATTGAAGAGACCAAAGTGGTGGAGAAAATTCTACGATCATTATTACCAAAGTTTGACTATGTGGTGGTGGCCATGGAGGAAGCAAATGACGTGTCAAAGATGACAGAAGATGAAGTCATCGGCTCATTGCAAGCACGAGAGGAAAGACTAAATAAAAGAAATGAAGAATCGTCAGAGCAAGTGTTAGCTACAAAAGCTACCACTGAGGAGAAAGAAGGTGCTCGAGGAGGAGGTCAGTACAGAGGTCGAGGCAGAGGCAACTACAGAGGCAGAGGAAGAGCCAGCGGAGCATATCAAAGCAGAGACGGAGGAAATTTCACCACGAACAATTATGAAACGTCCACCAGAGCCAGAGGTCGTGGTCGTGGACGTGGAAGAGGAAATTGGAGATCGAATGAAGGTCGTGATAAATCCAGCGTCCAGTCCAGTGCTATAATTGCTCGAAGTACGGGCATTATGCATCGGAATGTTGGAGTCCGCCTAAAGAAGTGGAGGAGACAGCAAACAACGTGCAAGAAGAAAAGGTCGAAGGCACATTGATGCTTTCGCATCAAGGAGATGAGAAACCGAAAGACACCATGTGGTATCTGGATAATGCAGCAAGCAACCACATGTGCGGTAAAAGAAGCATGTTCGTGGATATGGATGAATCGGTGAAAGGAAATGTCGTATTTGGAGACTCTTCGAAGGTTCCTATCAAAGGCAGAGGAACTATACTCATCCGGCTCAAGAATGGCTCACAGCAATCTATCAGTGATGTGTACTATGTCCCGGACATGACTAGTAACATCCTGAGTTTGGGTCAGCTGATGGAGAAAAATTATGAAGTTCACATGGTGAATCGTCAACTAGAACTATTAAATGAGAAGAAGCAGTTGTTGGCGAGAGTCCCAATGTCGAGAAACAGAATGTTCACCTTGAACATTCAGACTGAAATGGCGAAGTGTTTGAAAGCATGCGTTAAGGACACTACATGGCTATGGCATCTGAGGTATGGCCATCTAAATTTTGGAGGCCTAAAGTTACTGGGTCAGAAGAAGATGGTGAATGGCCTGCCAGTAATCATCCAGACCAGTTGTGTGAAGGATGCTTAGTTGGGAAGCAATTCAGGGCAAGTTTCCCAAAGGAGTCCCTGTCACGAGCTAAAGTACCACTTGAGCTCGTCCATGCAGATCTCTGTGGACCGATCACCCCAACATCGTTCGGGAAGAACAAATACTTCCTATTGTTCATTGACGACTACAATAGAAAGACATGGGTTTACTTCTTAAAGCAGAAGTCAGATTCATTTGAAGCTTTCAAGAAGTTCAAGATGATGGTGGAGAACGAAAGTGGCTGCTACATCAAAGCCATGAGATCAGATAGAGGTGGTGAATTTATGCTGAAGAAGTTCAGAAGGTTCTGTGAATATCAAGGAATTCGCAGGTTTCTCACAGTCCCACGATCCCCTCAGCAGAATGGAGTTGTTGAGAGGAAGAACAGAACTGTACTCAACATGGCGAGAAGCATGATGAAGAGCAAGAACCTGCCAAAGGAGCTATGGGCTGAAGCTGTTGATTGTGCAGTCTACCTGTTGAACAGGTCACCAACAAAGAGTGTTTGGAATCAAACACCCCAAGAAGCATGGAGCGGAAGGAAACCCACAATCTCTCATCTCCGAGTCTTCGGAAGTGTTGGATATGTGCACGTACCGGATCAAGAAAGGAAGAAGTTGGATGACAAAAGCAAGAAGTACATATTCCTGGGATACTCAGAACACTCAAAAGGTTACAAGATGTTTGATCCCGTGGAAGAGAAGTTGATCATCAGCAGAGACGTGGTGGTTGATGAAAAAGCAACATGGGATTGGACTACTGAAGCAAAGAAAATTTATACTTTTTATCCATTCACTATGGATGAAAGTGATGATGAACCAGATACAACTACACCTGTGACAAGTCCACTCAGTCATAGAGAGCCTGCTATCCCAGAAGGAGAATCGAGTGAAAGTCCCCGAGAAAGGCCACAGAAGTATAGAAGACTTGAAGAAATTTATGAAGAAACGACAACCATTGAAGGTGATGAATTGACACTCTACTGTCATTTCGTTGACAGTGAACCAGTTGATGTCGAAGAAGCCATGAAGGATGAAAAATGGAGAAGAGCCATGGATGAAGAAATTGGAGCAATTGTGAAGAACAAGACTTGGGAGCTTGTGTCACTACCTGAGAACCAGAAGCCCATTGGTGTAAAGTGGGTATTTAAAGCGAAGAAGAATGCAAAAAGAGAAGTTGTTAGGCACAAGGCAAGATTAGTGGCGAAAGGGTATAGTCAGAGACCAGGCATTGACTATAATGAAGTTTTTGCTCCCGTGGCGAGAATGGAGAGTATCAGGATGGTGATATCTCTCGCTGCTCAAAATGGATGGAAGATACATCAGATGGATGTGAAGTCATCTTTTCTCAATGGATATCTCGAGGAAGACATCTATGTGGAGCAACCCCCTGGATATGTCATTGAAGGTCAAGAAGATAAGGTATTGA